CTTGACTAGTGATTGGTGTGGGCTGGTGCTGCCCCTGGGCCAGTGGTCCCCAGTTGTACAAGAAAGCAGGCTGAGCAAGCCAGTGAGCAGTGTTCCTCCATGGCCTCTGCATAAGCTCCTGCTTTGGGTCCTACTGTGATTTGATAGACATAGCGCTGTCCTGAGGAGGAAGACAGTGCTGTACCCACAAATAACTGGATCTGCCTCTAAGAAAAAGGGAACAACCTGGGGGACCCTTGTTCCTCACTGTGGCGATTATGCAAACATCTCTTACAGTCCAAGAGACTGGACAAGAGACTGCTGTCCTACTGTGTGTTCAGCCTGCTTGCTTAATCTACCTTGAAGAGAACAATGTAACCAACCAGCCTTGGATTTCCCACAACATAAGCTAATGCAGATCTGTGATCATAAGTTATGGGCTCTTCCATGCCCCCCCAACCTCCACTCTCCGTGCCCCTCTCCCCGCCCCAGACATTCGCTGAAAGCAACAGATCCAGAAGTTGAAAGCAACCTTCTAAAATCCACCATAAATGTTAAAAGTAACCATTTATGGAAACTGGTTGATAAGTAGTGATGTCTGTAGTACTTTTTGTTATCTGGATCAGTTGGGATCAGTTTGAGCCAGTGACTTAATTCCTTGTAAAATTCTGTTAAATGTTTCTGTAAAGTATCCCATTCCTTCCCCATGTGATGCTTTCTTTGTTGTTTAATAAAAGACAGAGTAAAGCCTCCTGTTAGAGTGGGAGACTCACAGACGGCAGACACAGGGGGAGCAAAAACCAGAGAATTTAAATCTGGACCTGCTCTCAGTTAAATGATTCCAAGAGGAAGTATTTTTTATTTCTTTCCTTAATGAGACACTGATGCATTATTGGTGACTCTGAGTTAATACTAGTTCATTTAATCCACACATTTTGGTGCCTTGTGTGAGGAACTTTTAACGTATCACTGAGGCATTTTGGGGTACCTATCAAGAAGGCAGGACAGCCTGAACTCATGTTTGGGAAGACCCTTTGTTGGGGATGTGGCTTTTGCAGGTTTCAATCATGAGTAACAGGAGTCCGGAACTCTCCCAGAAGCTCTCACTGTGTCAGCCTGTGGTGTGGAGAGGTCTGGAGATAAAGGGAAATTTGGATATCTCAGGTTAGCCAGTAAATCCCTCTCAGAAGCAGGATCCTATGCTCTGAAAGCTCCCCTTGAGTGAGTGTTAACATCTTTCCCCTGTTTCTCTTTCTTCTTTAAGTCAGTTAGAATCTGCATCAACTTCTGTCACTAGGAAGGGTGAGGACTCTATCAAGCCACACCTCTACTCTCCAGGGTCCTGAAGGCAGTGCTGCCAGCTAACCAGTCCTGTTTACAGACAAGTGCTTTCAAGGATTCGATGGGGTTTTGTTTGTTTGTTTGTTTTTTAAAGATTTATTTATTTATTTTATGCATATGAGTATACTTCTGCTGTCTTCTGACGCACCAGAAGAGGGCATCAGATCCCATTACAGATGGTTGTGATTACAACCATTACAGACCATGCAATTGCTAGGAATTGAACTCAGGACCTCTGGAAGAGCAGTCAGTGCTCTTAACCTCCGAGCCATCTCTCCAGCTCCAGTGTTTTGTTAATGTAGGTGGTTGTGGCCCAAAACTATTAGGTAGAAAATTCTGAAAATAAACGATACCTTCAATTGTAGGCATAGCGTGATAACATCCTTCGTGCAGCTTCCTGCTCTGTCCTTTGGGGACACGGATTGCCCTCTAGTCTAGCATTTCTATGCATAATGCTCCACCCTTCTGTTCCTCAGGAACGATTTTGGTTATCAGTTTGGCCACTGCAACGTTGGGGTGCTTGTGTGACTAACTCTTATTTTTCATAGTAATGGGGTTGAAGTGGTGGTGACTGATACATGCCGGGGTGGGGGGGAGCTGAAAGTACTTCCTTTAAGTGAACTAGGGGTGATGCCCTACTGTGATTCTCTGATGCTATCTATCATAACTACCACAACCCAAAGCACCCCAGGGAGCAAAGAATTTTCTTAGCTCTCAGGTTACAAGCCACTATTGATGGATGCAAAGGCAGGAACCTGGAGGCAGTATGAGGAAGCAGAAACCGTGGAGATACAGCTTCCTGACTCAGTGCCCTGGGGCTTGCTCAGTTACCTCTCTAATACAGCTTAGACCCACCTGCCTAGGGATGATACCTCCCACAGTGGGCTGATGTAGCATTTGTTAAATGCTACATCAGCTAGCGTTTAAGAAAATGCCTCACTGACACGGCCACAGGCCAGTCTGATACAGGCAATTCTCCAGTTGTGGTTCCCTCTTCCCGAGAGCTCTAGGTTTGTGACAGGTTGACAGCTGAAGCTATGACAGGTGACCTTTAGGTTGGTTTGTGTTTTTGATAATCCAACCCAGGGCCTCACAGGTACCAACAAGAGCTCAACTGCTGAGCTCCAAGTAAAACTTTCCAGCTCCCAGCCATCAGTAACTGCAGTTCCAGGGGATCTGGCGCCCTCTTCTGGCCTCCTCGGGTACCAGGCATATATGTGTTACACAGACATACATATAGATAAAACATTCACATACCTTAAATAAATAATAATTTTTTAAAGATTTATTTATTTTATCTATATGAATACACTGTAGCTGTCTTCAGACACACCAGAAGAGTGCATCAAATCTCATTACAGATGGTTGTGAGCCACCATGTAGTTGCTGGGAATTGAACTCAGGACCTCTGGAAGAGCAGTCAGTGTTCTTAAACCGCTAAGCCATCTCTCCAGCCCCAAATAAATAATAATTTAAGCTTGCCTTTGGGCTTGTCTGCATAGCAATAGTATAGTCTATATGTTCTTGGCTTCCGGTCTTCATGGTAGCACAGAGAACCCACGGATAAGGAGCAAGCATTGTGCCATATACCTTTACAGCTTAGGGGAGGTTTTAAATGAAGATGTTCCAGAGACAGCCCCTGGCCTCTGAGAACATATCTCATTAGACATTCCGAACTGCTAATTACAGAGCAGATCTTGTAGTAATTCGAGGCCAGTGAATCATGCAGATGGGTATTGGAGTTGACACTGGAAACAGGATGCCTCTTGGGCTTTGTGATATGTGAGTTGCTCTGGGCCTGTCAGGGAAGGACCCATGCTGGGCTTAACGCTCAGCCTTTTTCATCTTGAAGTATGTCATATTTCTTTCTTGTCACTCAAGCATTTTTTTTCAAGCTGACAGAAATGAATTGTACATATTCATGTAGTACAGTGTGACATTTCTGTACCTGGTTACCGTGAATAATAATCAGATCAGGTAATTAGCATTCACAATGCCTCAAACGTTAACCGTTTCCTTGTACTGAAAAAACATTCAAGGTACCCTATTTAAAATTCATGGCAAATTAATCATTTTTACTTAAAGGTCCATTTGGACAGGGAGCAAACTGTGTAACCAGAGTCTAGGTGGCCAGACAGAGTGAGCAGGTGTTTGGGATGCGAAGTGTGTGGAAGGGCAAAGTAAGTCTAGAACTTAGAACAGAACCCCATGTGTCAGCCGCAAAGGCATGGCAGCAGAGCTCTTTCTATAGATTGCTTTACAGCAGAGTTCTTGCTCACTCATGAGGGCCTATGGCTATACCAGCACCAAGTTTTGGGGCCACTGGGTGGTGGAGCCTGGCCTCTCTGTCCCTGTTCTAGAATGTGCATTTTTATGGGGGCTTCCCCAACTCTGTAGTGTCTTTGGCCTCTGGCTTTGGGTTAGGCTTACTATACCTTCTTCATTTGGAATGAAGGAAAGGGACAGGTGGGGTGGGGAATTCAAGGTTCCTACTCCCAAGAGGGATGGTGGCCATCCAGCCACTAGGTTGTATGATGGTTGTGACCCTGGGTACCTGGGCAACTTTCTTAGTCTCTTTCATCCCCAGTTTGCTCAACAACCCCTGAGAGGTAGCTTGGAGCTTTGGTGCAGAAGTGTGGCCACAATAGAAGGGTCATAGCGTCACCCTGTGGTTCACCCTAGCAGAGGGGACTTTCTGTACACCTTTGTGAATGAGAGGAGGATCAGTCAGGAAACCATCTGTAGAAGTGAAGGAGAGTATGTCTCCAGGTCCCTAGTCTGGGGACTGTCCCCTTGAGAGTAAAGGAGTATATATCTCCAGGTCTCTAGCCCAGGGAATGTCCCTTGAGAGTAAAGGAGTATATAGCTCCAGGTCCCTAGTCTGGGGGCTGTCCCCTTGAGAGTAAAGGTGTATATATCTCCAGGTCCCTAGTCTGAGGATTGTCCCTTGAGAGTAAAGGAGTATATAGCTCCAGGTCCCTAGTCTGGGGATTGTCCCTTGAGAGTAAAGGAGTATATATCTCCAGGTCCCTAGTCTGGGGACTGTCCCCTTGAGAGTAAAGGTGTATATATCTCCAGGTCCCTAGTCTGAGGATTATTCCTTGAGAGTAAAGGAGTATATAGCTCCAGGCCCCTAGTCTGGGGGCTGTTCCCTTGAGGGTAGATGACAGATGAGGCTGGCTGACTTGAGCTTTGCTCAGGAAGACACAGGTCACTAGCTCTGGAGTGGCCCATCACCCAGTCCCCAGAAACACCATCCATGTGCTTTGCAGTCATGGGCATCTCCCAGAAGCAGAATCAGGACCACAGCATCTCCCTCTTCAGCCACCACATAGCCTGGTGCGGGAGCCCTCAGCCTCTCAGTTGTACTCCTGCTCCTCCTCTGAGGGTGTGGGTCTCAGAGCTGTGGGTCCCATTGCCTCCTCTTTGCCTCCACAGTTCTGCAACCTCACCTGCCCGTCTCCATCAGTGAGGATCAGGACCATTACCCCCCAGGCCTGGCCTCCTGGCTTCCAGAGAGAGCAAGAGCCCCACATTCCATAGAGACAGGTACTTGTGAAACAACCAATTTTCTCTCCCAACACATCTGTGTCAGTTTATTTAGGATGTGGTGAACATTTTATTGTCATTTGGATTAACTAGACGGGGGGTGGGGGGAGGGAAAGCCCAGGAGCCCAGAATTTTGGTAACTTCAAATATATTTTATTACTTTCTTTTTCATCTTAGAAAGAACATGAAACCTGCATGCAACACTCACGGTCTCAGCATTTACATAGCAGATACACAGCCGGACAGTGCCACCTCCTACCAAGGGGCAGTGTGCGACAGGGGGCAGGGACTGAAGGCAATATGTACATAGGATCATCCTAACTCCGAAAGAAGACTGTGCTGTTTGTATATGCACCGAGGGGCTGTGTGCTTTCTGTTGGGGTGAGGGAAAGAAACAAAGCTGGGGGGGGAGGGGAAGGGGGAGGGAGTTCCCCTTGACAATAGGATGTGTCGCTCTGGCTGTGTGTCATGCATCTAATTCTGAATCTTCCCTTTCCCTCCGTACATTGTTTTCTCACACTGCTGGGGACTTTGGATGCTTCAAAAGTATCCTCTACCAAAGCAGCGAGCAAGCGAACCTCTCAGAAACCCTCAGGTTGCAAGAAAGACCCAGCTCCTTTAAGGATCACTTGCCTGGTGGTGACAGGAGAATGAGCTGGGATGTGGGGGATGGGGTGGAGACGAAGGTCGTTCTGGTAACTAGACTGAGTTCTTCTAGGCACAGATGTAGAAGGACCTGCTTCCAATTGCCCTGCAACAGGGGCCACTGTGGAGTCACACTGAAACTCTGACCAGTCATAAGCCCAGGAGAGTCCATGGCAGCTGTGCAGAGGCGCCAGGCTCTCTGAGCGGAAGCTTCCAAGCCTGGACCAGAGCGACAGCACAGTGAATTGCCCCAGCCCTGCTCATTGTTCCTTCCAGGCGCTTATAAAGCTCAGATGTGTGGTGACGTATGGACAGATACAAAACCCCTTATTTTAAAAAGAAAAGGCTTGGGGTTCCCCCCCTCCCCGACCTCCCCTCCCCCGGCAAGAAGCCACTTGTAATGAAGTCTGGTGCGCAGGAGAGCTGGATCTCACATCTGGAAGCCTTTCACACACAGCTATAAAATGTAAAAACTGACCCGGGTAAGAAGAGCTTCATAACAATATATAATGTGTCTTATGCTTGTGAGAAAGAAAGGGCTTTTATTTTAATCTGCAAAGTCCTCCGCTGAAGTCTCTCAACTGGCCTGGAGTTTTTCTTTCCGAGATCTTCCACCTTATTCTTCGTAGACCCTGGGAAAAGAGGACACACAGGTGTGAGTGGCCCAGGGCGTGGTGTAGGCTGCACACAGTTCCTGTGGAGTGGCTTCATCTATGGATCCTCTCCAGGTCTGAGGCCAGGAGAGGAGAGGTGGTTGTAAAGATGTGACTGAAACCTACACAAAAGCTCACACACAGGTGGGTGTGGACGCTCACACCTGTAATCCCAGCGCTGGGCTGCCCTTCACAGATAGTTCACTGTATCTTGCTTGCTCCCAGTTTCCGAGTGAGAATCCCCAATCATGCATTGAAATAAACTGTCTGCGGGCCAGAAAGATCAGGCTCAAAAAATCTGCCACTGCTTCGCCAGAGGACCAAGTTCAGTTCCCAGCATTCTCATCCGGGGCTCTCAAACCCTTATACCTCTAGCTCAAGGGGAATCCAACGCCCTCTTCTGGCTGCCTTGGGCACCTGCACACATATGGCATACAGATACACAGACACACACACAAATAAAATAGAGAACAATGAAGTGTCCCATGTAGTTGCCTCTCATGACAGGCAGAGACTCTGCTTTCTACAGTGCTTTGAGCTCAGTTGTTGGTGCCATGGCCCAGGGGCCGGGCCCAGCCATACTTCTTCTTTCTCCCTTCTGAGCTATAGAGCATGTATGTTTGTTCTCGCTCTGGCTTCACAGTTCTTTCATCTCCACCTCCATTCATGAAGTCATTTTTAATCTTGTGCAAGGAAAGCGATGGGAAGAGAAAGGGGGTGTGTGGCACTTTCCTGTTCCAGGTGCCTCAGTGTCCTAAGAAAGGGATGAACTCAGTAGAGTGTGACATAGGCTTGTAAGCTTGAAATCCCAACATTTAGGAGGTGGACGGGCTACGATTCAGGGTTCAAGGCTATCCCTAATCCTGAGGTTGAGTTGATACTAGACTGGGCCATGGGAGACTTTGTCTTGACAAACAAGTCAATAGCCCTGAAAAGGTTAACATGTAGCAAATCGGCAGAAGCCTGGTAGTGGAGGCTCTCAGAGCCTTCGTGAGAGCGACTTGCAAAAGTGGAACCGGTAAGGTTGGAGGTAGGGCAGCAGGAAACCCACAGAGGCCTCCTCTTCAGATTGTCCACGGTGGAGGACAATTAAGTGGGTAGAGGTTTGAATGTCCCCAGCAGTCTGAGCAAGACTTCCCAGCCCTCCATAAGCTGGGGTCATTCTGCTTTTGAGGACACAAGCTGGGACGGTGTTGGGGTGGGAGGGGTGGGCCAGGCTCTGCTTTTGCCATGTGAGCTGCATGTCCTGACCAGAAAGAGGGCTTCATTCCCATCAGATATAGAGGAATGAGTCGCTCACCTCACCACTTTCTATTTCAGGCAATTGCAGATGAGGCAGCTTTGGAGGGAGCAAGAGAGGATTCAGGTGCAGAAGCTGGGCAGAGCTGTCAGCTGTGAGAGCAGCTCACAGGGCTGAGGCCAGTGTCGGGGTGTGTGTGTGCGTGTGCGTGTGTGTGTGTGTGTGTAGCACAAGGCAACCTGCTGAGAAGGCAGCACAGGGACCCGCACCCCACACAGGTCTTGCCCCGACTTTTCCCAGTGCTGTGAAGGCAGCCACACCCTGTCCCCACCTATCTTGTTTCCCCCTCTTAGGCCAGATGCTGGAATCCTTGGAGATCACCTAAGTGTGTGTGTGTGTCTTTCCTTAGTTTTTTGCAGGTGAAGCTAAAACAGGCCTTGAGTGTTTGAAGAGTGACCTACTTCAGGTCATGGTGCAAAGGAGCTGAGAACTGGCCTCTCCTTCCAAGGTCAGACCTAGGACCCCCAGGATTAGAACTAGGGAGCCCCCTTCTGATTATATGAAAATGCCCATCAGCAGAGGTGTCTGGTCCAAGGCAATGACAATCTCAACTGCTGCCCCTTTGGGTAAAGAGGCTCTGATTGGAAGGGGCTGGATTCAAGTGTCACTCAGAACCTGCCTGAGAAGGAACTAGTCAGGTGCCTAGGAAGAACAGGGCATGGGGCACAGTCAGGTGCCTAGGAAGAACAGGGCATGGGGCACAGTCGGGTCCCTAGGAAGAGCAGGGCATGGGGCACAGTCAGGTGCCCAGGAAGAGCAGGGCATGCATGGGGCATAGTCAGGTGCCTAGGAAGAACAGGGCATGGGGCACAGTCGGGTGCCTAGGAAGAGCAAGGCATGGGACATTTTGGAGAGGAGATCACCTTGCTGGCAGGGGTCACCCTTGTTATTACTGTACACCTACAGGTTTTTTGGCTAATAAACTGTCACTTAAGAAGAGGTCATACCCCACTTTCTAAAGTTAACAGGGGACAACTGTGCCAGGTGCTCACCTAGCCATTTCCAGCTTATGTGGCTTATGTAAAAAGAGCAATTAAGACCATAATACAAAAGTTAGGGTGCAGAGGGATGGCCCAGCAGTTAAGAGCATTGCTGCTCTTGTAGAGGACCTGGGTTCGGTACCTGGCACCCACACAGCAGCTCACGACCATCTGTAACTGCAGTGTCAGGGAATCTGATGACCCTTTTTTTGAAGTCCTCGGGCATCAAACATATAGGGGGTACACATATGTATATGCAGGCTTAATACCCATATTCATAAGATAAAACAATAAACTTTTAAAAATATTCACAAAAGTCTATCATATGAAAGATAGAACGAGGTAGAATTTTTGCTCACAAAAGGACACACCTGAGGTGTGTGTAGCTGTGCAGAAAGCAGGAGCCTCCTTTGTGAAGTGGTAAGGTCCCCATCAGTGGGAGTATGGAAACAGCGTTAGGGTGTCTACTTCTGTGGATATTATGTGGGTGTCACATTTTAAACGAGGCCCGTAGATGACACGGTGTGCGGGTCCCTTCCTGCCCTGAAAGCTACAGCCAATAGGCAAGCCCTTCTGAGTGGGTGGGGGTGGGCACGGGGTGGAGGAGGGTGGGGTGGGGTGGGGAGAAGAGGTGTACCTGCGCTTCTCGTTCCAGGCGTTGTACCATTTGATGAAGCGTTTGGTGCTCTGCAGCTTAGGATGCAGGCAGTGCTCCTGGCCCCGGTACCTGGACATGCTCTTGGTGGTTATGCTGAAACAGAACAGAATGCGGTACAGGGTTGAGCTATCTGAATAACTGTCTGCAGGACCAGAGCACTGGGCCGCTTGGTCCCTCCCTGCTTCAAGTGCCTATTCCCTGGCAAGCCATTGTAATGTTTTAGGTCTCAGTCTTCATGGTGGTGTTAGCCTGTAGGGAGTGATTGGGAGACCCTACCCCCGACCTCCAGCACCCAGCTGTCCCCAGGACAGCCTGTCTTGGGGGGCAATGATGAGAAGGCTCTTCCAGTGGTCCAGAGGTAGACAGAGCCACTGTTAGAAGACACTCATGCCAAGTCCCACAGAGGGGCTGAGACACGCCCTACAGACACTATAGTCTGACCACTAACCCCAGTACCTGAACTCTCTACAGTCCCCGGGCTGAAGATTTGCTGGTCCTTACTGGCTTGGTAGCCCATTTTGATACTTGAGTTTGAGGTTACAATTATCTCATTTGGGGGCAGAAAAATAAGACCTTTCTTCTCTGGGCCTCTCTCAGCAAAAGCTCCAACACTAGCTGTGCAGGGGAGAAGCAGGAGCCATACTGTGTGCAGTACAGCCAAGTTTGAATCCTTGTGACCTGTCGGATCTGTCTGCTCTGTGTAAAGTAGGTACAGTAAAAGGACCTGTGTCTCAGGGCTACTTGGTAGGTGCCAGGGACTTAGCTATTAATTACTAAATAGTCACGAGAGATGAGACAGCCAGGGGAAAGACAAACTTCATGTGTGGGCACAGTCCTGGATGGTCTGAGGTACCTCTCTCAGTCAGGGCGATCAGGGAGATACAGGCAAGGGTTTAAGGAAGCTTCTAGGACAAAGGTGGACAATGGTGAAGAATTTAGGGTCTTGGAACAAATCAGAATATGACTTTCTGATGAGACACGGCTAGTTAGTAGAGATGACAGTAGAGACTGGGAAGTTTGTTCCCATGTGCTTCCAAGGTAAAGAGTCAGGGTTAATAGGCCAAATTCTAGAAGGGGCAGGCTTGTTGTGAACGAATACTTCCAATCTATAGGAACGGCAAAGAGTCTTGCCAGAAGAATGGGGACCAAATGCTTTGTCAGGGGCTTTTGTTTCCTCCAAGACCAGCGATGGACATCTGATAAGACCAGGTAATCGGATCGTGCTTCCCCAGAGACAAGTGGATCCTTACGGGCTCTGAGCATGGGGCCCTCCCTTCATACCTCTACCATCCCGCAGGAATTAGCACCTGTACTTCTTCCAAACCCACAATGCTGCCGTTGCCCTGAGCGGCAAACTCCAGCAAAAACAAACAAACAACAACAAAACGGGGCGGGGGGAACTTTCTTCATAGGCCAGAGTGCAGACTGAACATCCTACTTCTGAAGGTCAGGGAGCTTACAAAAGGATTCCGTTCTCTGCCCCAACCCCCACAGAGGTGCCCTGAGCTTTCTCAGAATACTGGGGTTATGCAAATCAGAAGCAGGGTGCAGTATCTGGGATCCAAGACCTAACAACTATTAGAAATTCTGGGTCTCCCCAGCAATTCTGGGGAGCAGATGGTTTGGATTGTAACTCCATGGACATATGACACAATTTCTCCATCAATGACCTGGACATGGGCTGGCAAGATGGCTCAGTAGGTAAGTGTCCTTACCACCAAGCCTGGAGCTGTGTTTGATTCCTGGACCACCTTCTGCAAGTTGTCCCCTGATCACACATGGCTATGTCATGCCTACTCCCTCTCCAATAATAAGTGCATATACTTTTTTAAAAAACAAGGAATCTGGGTTTTTCCATGTCCTGATTGTAAGGACTTGCACTCAGAAGACACACTGACTCCTCCGACCCCCTCTCTGCCACCCCAGTAGAGATCTCTGTGTGACTCAGGGTGAGCTGGAAATCTTGCCTTCAGCTTTTGTGGCTGAAAACCTGTTTTTGGCAAAAAGTGAGGGTTCCTTGTCTGATAGACGGAGAGAGGAGCCTCTGATCTGTCAAAAGATGGGGTGGGAAGGAAGGCCTAGGAGAGATGGTCCCATGCGGCCCCTGCAAGTTTCCCCAAGACTATAGGAAGCCTTCCTTTCCTGGAATTTTCCTCTCTGCCCAGAGAAATTTAGTCAAGGAAAGCATGTCTGGGGAGGATCCTCCTCTTTTTGATGCTTGCTTTTTTTTTTTTTTTTGTCCCCTGCAAGGTCTTAAAGACAACTTGCAATCATCTCCTACATTTTGAACCCCCTAACTAGAAATACTAAGGTTCTTGTGACTCTTTCCCGGGGCATTTTAACCCTGAGTCGGCCCACACCCAAAAGGGTAGTTTTCCTTTCTCTGACCGGCAAGACTAGGGCACGGAAAAGGATGTTAATTGGGAAGCTCATGACTCGGGTCAGCTCAGGCCCTGTGGCTCTCTGAATTCCCTGAACTTCAGCGGATGGAGATGGTGAGGTGCCGGGTGGGGGGTGTGCCCTTCCTTCTCAGACACGGCGTGAAGGCCTTTGGGCAAGCAAGGGCAGCCGGTAGAAGGCACTCGCCCAGACTGAGAATAAAGTGTGTCCTGTTTCTGGGGGAGGGGAAGAGGGGCCAATGGTCCATGGCAAATATTTAGGAGCTGTTTTGCCAAGGGCTGCCTTCCTGGCCAAGAGTGTATTGATGGGGAAAACGGCAGCGCTGGCTTCAAGTGGTTAATTGGGAAGGCTGAGGCGCAAGGAAACTCAGTGTTCTCTCTCTGCCCCAGTTTTTAAGACTTTGCCGGCATCCCCACTAAGCAGGCTGCAGCGGTGGCATAGCACATTAACCCCAGCAGAGCGCTTTCTCCAACATTGTTCAGAGGTACGGACCCACGAGGGAGAAGAGACAGGAGCATTCTCACATTGAAAGCCCTGGGATCCTCAAAGTGTCCACCGCTGTGGCCAGACCCCTGACTGAAATGGGGCGCTGAAAGGAAAAGTTACTTCTCTCTTCAGTAAGAGGAAGGCAGCACAGCCGGCCCAACAGGCTGGGTGTGTGTCCCAAGCGGATCTGATGTGACTGTTCTAAGCGGGCGCACCAGAACCACTAGCCCACAGTCAACCTCGGCTGCCACTTTGAATCCTAACAAGGACAGGATCAGAGGGACCGGCCAGAAGCACCCCCTCCCCTTCTGCAGACTGTCAGGCAATGTCCCCAGGACTTGCCAGTGGGTTATAGACTGCCCCCAAGGTCTTGGCAAAGGGAGAGAGAAAGACATTATCAGCCAGACCTAACCCGAGGTTGGGCCCCGCCATGGGTCATGCTACCCCAGAACTCACATAACCATCTTCTCCTCGCAGTGTGGGTACTTTGGCTTCATTTCCAGCTTCTTCACGTCGCTGTAGCGGATCTTGGGCCCCTTCCGGGAACACTTACACTTGGACCCTGCGGGAGAGCACGGCCGGGCTGCTGAGTCGCCGAAAGGGTCTCCGCGACCACCCAAGGTGCCCACCCGGGACCTCCCCGGGTTCCAGGATGCCTAGATGATGCTTGAGCTCCCTAGGATGGGACAGAACCGCGACAGAGGGCCCTCGCGGCACTCACCGTCCACTCGCGAGGCGCACAGCGCCAGGAGCAGCAGGAACAGCGCGGCCGCCAGGAGCCTCATGTTGGCCGGAGGGGCGCGACGGGGAGCAGGGAGACGAGGAGGGCGCCGGCCTGTTCGTGCGGCGGCCGGGGGATGCCGCCCGGTTCGGTTCTCGGTTTCAAGCACGCCTCTCTCTGCTCGGCTCGCTCCGGCTGCGCCCGTCGATGGGTGCTCCTGCCGTCTGTCGCGGTGCTGCGCTGCGCTTGGCGCTGGGTGCTGCGGTCTCCCCACAGCTTCCCTCCGCCCACCCTGGCCTCTTTTAAATTCGCTCCTGCCCTCTCGGAGAGCGAGCTCATTAATATGCAGAACCACTCGGTGACTCACTGAGATTTCTCAATGTGGTGGGGGGAGGAGATCTCCCAGCCCGCCCTGCCGCCCGCCCCGGACCCATCGCGATCCCAGCGGCGCACACTCGGAGCCACGCGCGCACACACGCACACACTCACATCCGCTACCCTCTCACTCTGCAGCACGCCCGCCTTCACGCACTTGCACACCCATACCTCCGAGCCACTGCCCTGCCTTATTGAAGGTCAGGCGGGAGCACCGCCTGCTGAAGGGAGCTGCTTTTCTGTTTCCTGTGGACACTTCTCAGGCCACACAGGTTTACTGACTGAAGCCACCGAGAGACCAAGCCTGGCTCACATCCTAGAGTTTTCAAGCAGGTGCTAAGGGAAAATGCCAGCAGGCCCGCCCCCTGCGGTGTTGGTCTCTTTTGTGCCTGCTGGCCTCGTGGTCCGAGCTCAAGGCCAGGTGGGGTTAGGGGCTCATCACAGGTTGTATAAGCCTTTGATTGAGTCACTGGTTCACGGAGCGGGCGATGGTGGTGATGGGTGAGGAGTGGAGAGGACTAGCAACTCCTAGAAGGGGTCTAAAGTATGGTGTTCATAGGTGACTATCCAGGGGCTGTGGAGAATTCGGGGTACTTGTCACATACATCCATAAGAATCTGTAAAGCCAGGTAGAGCCCAGTAGGCAGCTATGACCATGGTAATGGAAGGCGGTAGCACCTTGTGAACATTGCACCACGGTGGTGGATGAAATTCCACCCTGCCCCACTATTCAACAGCACATGACTCTCCATTAAAAGGCTTCTATTCACTCTCTGTAAACCTGTAGGTGGTCATAGCGCCCGTCCAAGGTACCTGTGAGAAGGACATAGAATCATGCAGGGCAGTTATCAGGATGTGCAACTCCGTACTCAGACGATGGTACTTAACAGCATCTTCATGTATATATTTTATATGTCACTTTGACTGGGACAACGTCCCTTAAATTGGTACTTTTAAGTTGTTCATTCGCCAGTGCAGAAACAGGCACAGCAAGGAAGAAACACCTCATCCAAAGTTCTAGAACCAGGGAGCAGGTGACTAAGCCAGGGGCATCTATGGATAGGACTGCAGAGTAGTCCTACCACTCTACTGTCTTCAAGTCCCTGCATTCTGGTGAAGCACTGCTTTGAGAGACCCAGAGACAGGGGCCAGGTATCTTAGGCTCGTGGAGGGTTAGCCTTGGCTCCCAGGCCAGGGCTTGCTCCTTGGTGTGTTGTTAGCCTGGAAGTCCCTAGGGGTACAAGTATCCAGAGGGGCTTCTGGGTGGGAGGTGGTAGTTGACTAACTGCAGAAGCTGTGCTTTCTCTTCTCATCTGTGCGACTCTAGGGGAAGCTGTACTTAAACAGTAAGCACAACCCACGCCCGCCATTGCGCCTGTCCTTAAAGTCCGGCTGGGATTGGGACACTGGGCTCAGCAGAGGGAATGCAAGATGATCTTTGCTATTTATCATGTTAAAAGATTAAAATTTGGGCTAGACCCAGGTTTAATTCCCAGCCCCTACAGTTGTCTGTAATTCCAGTTCCAGGGGATCTGACACACTCACACAGACATACATGCAGGCAGAACACCAGTGTACACAAAATAAAAGTAAATATATTTTTAAAAAGATCAGACTTTGTTTTTATTCATGTATAGCAACATGGGTTTGTTTCAGAAAAATAAGAAAACGGGCAGTTTTCACCACTCAGAGGTCTACACCAAGATGAAAATGGCACCATCTTTGGGGTTTGAATGCATTCGTACAGCCGAGAGCCCCTGCATGTCTGGTGTGATGATCTGCCTATTGTATCATTCTGTAGGCCGGTCTTGCTTCCTGTCTCCTTAAAGATGGTGTTATTTGAAACCATGTAAGTACACTTGCCAAGAGATCTGTGTCTGACTTTAGTTGATCTTCATGTGACTTTGGGCAGATGATTCTTTTATGTCTCAGTTTCCCTCATCTGTGAAAGGGCATGATAAAGGTAGTTCCTGCACAGTGAGGGAGAAAAGTCTAACAATGGCTGTCTCCCAATGGAAAGTCCAAGAATCCAATAACTGCTGTTTGTCCACGAGGCTGGATGTCTCAGCTAATCTTTAGTACACATCAGAATCCCCAAGAAGGCTCTAACACCCGCCTCAACAGCAGGTTATCGCAACTTGGCATGAGAATGAGGGCAGGCAGGCAGAAGGCAAAAGCTGCTTTCTTCCATCTCTTTTATGTAGGCTGCCATGAGAGGGTGTGGCCCAGATTTAGGCAGGGTCTTCTGACCCCAAATGATCTGGATGTAAGATGTGTCTTCCTTCCTCAAATGATTCAGTTAACTAAAGATCACTCACAGCTATTCCTAGCTGTTTGGGTTTTAACTCAATTCCAGACGTAGTCAAGTTGACAACTGAGAATAGCCATCACAGGGAGGAAACTACACCTGAGAATTTGGTTACCGTTTTCTTTTTACACTCACTGAGCACCGACTATGGGCTAGGTTCAGTGCATGTACTGGGGACTTAAAATGAACAAGTATATGTACCTGTTCCCAGGGGTCTATAGCACCCACCACAATCATGGCATAAGTGTGTAAATTCCTTAGAGGTAGACACCACTAAGAAGCTGGTACCGTGTGACGTGATTCTGGACAGCGTAGGGATGCCTTTCTAGATGAAGCGATCACTGGACTGGCTGTGGAGGATGATAAGATGGCCGACAGGGGAGGAAAGCCATTCCTATGGCTCACAAACCCTTCTGCTCCCATGACAATCTTCTGTGGGGTGACCCTGCTCCAAGCCCTTCCCTGGTTCCTGATCTCATTCAGAGCCCTGGCCGAATACCCAACAGTGCCTACTTCCGTTGGCCAGCCAGCATCCCACCCCCTGGGTATGCTTGGTGACCCTGCCTTAACTTATCTCTCTGGCTACAGTGTTCCCAGCTGGGGAATCTTTGCTCTCCAGCCCTCTTGCCCACAGTTTGTTCTTCCCAGCATCACCTCCTCATCCTCCCTGCCCGTGTCCATCCCTCAGACTGAAGCACTCCATGCTTTCTGGCAGCCTAGCAGCAGCTGCTTTCTGTGCGGTAACTGGTTTAGGTACTGCGCAGGCTACCACGACAGGCAGTGTTGCTTTCATGTTCATTGCTAGTGTACTGTAGGGGAACTTCTCAGTCATCTCCATCTTCAGCGTCCTCAGGTGAGATCTGTGTGCAGCATAGCCTCAAGATGGTTTGAATGAAAATATCCCCCACAGACTAAGGCGTTTGAGTACTCGTTCCCCAGTTGGTGGCGCTGTTTGCATAGGTTCAGGGGGAGTGGCTTTGCTGGAGGAAGTACGTCACTGGGTAGGGGCGGGGTTTGAAGTTGCAAAAACCTTGCTTTATTTCCAGGAGCATCCTTTTGATCCGTGCTGTGGTGCGAGATCTGGATTCTTTCTCTACTTCTGCCGTCAAGTTTGTTGCGTGTTGTGGTGTCTCAGCTACGTCAGACTCTTACCCCTCTGGAGCGGTAAGGTAAGTAAACCCTTCCTTGTCTAAGTTGTCTTGGCCTTGGTGTTTGATCACAATTGAAGAGTAGATAATACAGCCTCATTCTGTATCCATCGGGTAAATAGGAGCGTGCTTCAGGCAGTAGGTAAGGCTGCAGAGAACATTGCTGAACCAAGGCTGTGCAGAGTAAGAGGCTATGCGTGAGAATGTGCGCACATGCGTGTATTGGAGGAGAGAAAGGGGCGCGTGTGGTAGCCGGGGAAAGCCCGTTCTGTCTCTAGCATTTGTTTCAAAACAGCGGTGGCCGGGAGGAAGAACGCAATAGCTTTCCTGAGGGCTGTAGCTCTCCACCCAGGGACCACTACTTGGTCTGCTGGGAGGTGGGGCTTCGTCATGGCTGCCTTCCAACCCTGCAAACGAGAAGATGAGGAGATTCCCTCTTGACCCCAAGCTCTCTCCATGACTGGCTTTCTTAGCAGGAGAGTCTCTCTGCTCTGATGGGACAGGAATCCTAGAATCAAGCACTCGGAGAGGTGTAGGCCTCATTTACCCTGATAGTACATAGAGGGAAACTGAGGCCTAGGAAGGTGGTGGACTTTCACACAAGGTCAAAACAGGACATTAGTGTTAGCCGTGATCCTGTTTCTATGTCCTCTCCCTAGATATTTAAGTGAGAGAG